CCCCCCAGGGAAAAGTGAAGCCCCCACCTAGAACAAAAGGTTCTTGCAGCTCGTCCCTGCGCGAGTCTCCCCGCTAACTTGCCCACTAAAATATAAATAAATCAAATTACTGTCATCGTTAACAATATCTTTCCTTCTCAATGACAATAAGCTGTTACGATTGGAAGAATGTATAATATTACCACAGGGCCGTGCATTTGGGGATTTCTTACTGCCTTGGGAAAGACACGAGTCTGAAATGCCTGTGAGGACCTTTAACGAGATCTCACAAATGTAAAAGGGGGTGTGGGGGGGAAGTGGGTGAAAGTGGCCTAAGAAGGAAAAATTGGTTTCCTGTGATTACAGGATTGGCATATGGAATAACCACATCCAAAGTTATAAGAGGGTATGGGCAGATCCTCTTCTCTAAAGGAATTAATTGACAAATCAGGGAAGAGGCATACTAAAATGCTGCCGCCTTCTTTAGTAGCGGTGCAAAGGGATGACCTCATAAATCATTACCTATAGGTTATCGAATTCGAGTCAGACCTGCTACACCCTATATTAAATCAAATGTTGGGAGCCTATTGGAGGATGCATTATTTGGGGGACCTAATTCTATTATCGATGAGTACAGACTTTAAAAATGATTTCTAATTAAGCATGACATTAGTGCACAGGCTACTTAAAAGGCAAGCCAGGGCTATTGTTCAGTTAGGAAAGTGGCCTTATGCAACATGATAGGTCATGATCAAAGTTCATCTTTCTGCGTTTCTCCCTGAAAATGGAATTAGAACATGGCAATAAATTTATTAAAGCCCACAGAGATCATGCTGAGGGACTGAAGCTGCTCGACTTGCAGGAGGAAAGAGGAGGAGGGAACTGTGGTATCTGGATGTGATTTTTGCTGAAATGCCATCCCAAATTACAGGATCAAATATTACAACAATATATTCGCTGACAGTTTAATGAGTACAGTTTCGTGTTGCAAGGATAATGTTCAGATGAACTTACCTATTTTTGGGGGTCATTTTGAAATCTTTTGTAAATTATACTCAGAGAAAATAGTGAATTTATTACAGCCCTCATCTGGCTAAATTAGCCACAGAAAATTGCTGGTTGTGTTTAGCAGTTTTGCAATAAACGCATACGTTTTCCAAAGTGGAGGATTTAGTAAGCAATTTGGATCCGTTAAAAGCAGGTCGACTCTTTAAACTTGATATAAAATAACATGGAGGCAATCGTAAGAATAAACTAATTTGTTGACTGCATGCCCCTGATTGCTGTAGGAAAACATGACCTAAAATGTTCTCTTGAATTCTGCCTCTCCTTAGTTGTGCTCCATGGCAGTGGGCTGATTCAAGAAGCCTCCTCTTAAGATCTATGAATTAATAGCACTGCTATACTTCGTGAAAACCAAATGCCATCTGGTTTAAATCCTTGTGCCAATCTAGCAATTTTTTTTTTTTTCTCTGTAAGACTGAAACAGAAGGCTTCATGAAGTAGAGTATAAAATAAGAGGGTGCATCTTTTAGGTATATTTTATCTGCTTTAAAAAAAATCTGTTACAGAAATCTGAGCTGAGAGGATAATTTTTAAATTTTTCTGTTGCTGCAACAGTTAACCTTTAATAAAAACGACTGCTAAATATTTAAGAAAGTCAAATAGATGGTGAAAATTATTTAATCGTAAATATCTCTGTGGGATTTTAAACTTAACAGTCCTCCCTGTACGGAATATGTGTAGAAATAACACAAATAAAAGTATTATGCCACACTACATTTACTTTATGGGTTTAAGGGTGCATGCATAAAGGGATCATATTTCCCCATATAGTTAAAACACAAGAACTGCAGCAGTAGTCATTTCTGAACATTTCTCAATTTAATTATACTTAAATCCAGAAGCACTTTAGGCAAGTTACAAATGAGAGCATTGAGTATAATAAAACCTGTAATAAAGCAACTTAGTACCATCCACCCGGAATCATTGAGATCAGGCACAATTAACAGGAGCATAAATCCAAGACAGAATGGAAAATGTTAGAATCAGTATTATTGTTGGACAAAGACTAGAGAAGGAAGTAATAGTTTTTTAAATGGTAATGCCTGGGTTTTGTAACGATTGCGAAATCTTCTATCTCAGCAGCACTGGTGTTAATTTGTAAACACAGCCAGACATTATATTGCCTGTCAGTTTTTGGAATTAGAAAACATGATTTCATTTGACTTTCTAATCACGTCGTGACTCCGCCGCGCGAACCCCAGCTGTAGCCGCGCCCGCGGAACCTGCGAGGGGACAATAGTGGGGGCGCCCACCGGCCCCGCGCCGCTCCGCGCTCCTTTGTGCCTTCCCTCCGCGGGCGCGGAGACGGAGCGGGCGCAGCGGCGGGGAAGGGCTGGGCCGGGCCGGGGCTGCTTCCCGGGGAGGAGGGAAGGGACGGGAGGAGGGAGCCCTCAGCAGCATAAAGCCACTCGGGCCCCGGGGGTGTGTGAGTGATTTATTATTTTTCTTGGGGATCGGGGGAAGAACTGGGAGGGATGCAGGATTCCTCTCGATAAAGGAAACCTCCCCCAAATCTCTTTACTCCCTTGTCCCTCCACAACCCCTTTCCGTGCAGGATCTGTTTTTCCCTCCCCACGCCGTGCCCAGGAATGGGGGGAGCACAAAACTTCTCCTTCACCCCATCCCACCTCGGCCCTCCCTGCCTTTTGTTGTGGTTGTACACTGACATCCCTGCCTGTTCCTTTTGTTGCAGCACGTAGAAGACCCCGGTATTAACATCCCAGATCAAACTGTAATTAAGAAAGGTAAGCTGCTTCCTTGCGCATACCAAACATGTCGTCACAGGCTGGGGACTGCTCGAAGGGAGGACTTACCCGGCCTCCCCCCTCTCCCCTCCAGCCCCCCGGCCCCGGGCTCCTTCCTCTGGCATGTACTGTTGGCCGAAAGGTTGGAAGCAAAGAAAAACGGGCGATGTGGGTTGAAATCCGCCCTCTTACATGGCCACGTTTGCCGGGTATTTTAATTATTATTGTTGTTAACGAGGCAAAATGTTAGCAGATGATCTAGAAAATCCAAGCTGGTTTTTTAGTGCGTTAGCGAACAATTGGGTTTCATGGTTTGCCCCGCGCATCTGGCTGAGTGGAGGGCTTGAATCGTTGTTGGTAAACTGGAGCTGTGAAAGCGAAATCGTTGTTCCCCCTCCTTCGGGTTTTCTTATTTAAATCACGCCGGTGATGAGGTGGACTGGTGGAGAACAAGGGGCGAGTTTCTGGAAACTGATGTCTGTTGGTGGTTAGGGTGATTTGGTTTTCGTTGGCTTTGTGCGCTTGCTTCACTTGGATTTGGATTGAACTGCTTGGAAGTTGATACCCAAATCTTGCTAAATATTAATTGCAAATTTTCACTCGATTTTAATTTCCTGTCATTCTTTGGACGACCGAAGGATTGGGAAAGGTGGCACAGGGCATTTTGCAAAGCAGGTTCTGGGTGGAAAGAGATGGGTTTTGTGTTTGGATGCTGTGTAGTGAGACGCTGTTGGAGTAAAACTGGTGGGGTAAGGCGCAGCTAGCTCCTGCCTGCTCTGAGGGATGCTATGGCTGCGTGGCCGCCTGGAATTTGGATACCCGGGCCATCACAGGAGAGAGGTGCTGAGTAGAGGCACTCTCCTCTCTAACCCTAATCGCTGTACAGCCAGCGAACCTGAAGTTTCATACCCCCCCCCACCCCCCGCCTGTAAAGCCTTTGTCACGTCAAATTAGATGTGCAAGGGATAAATCTTAAGAGATGCTCTTTCCAAGTCGACATGATAATTGGCTCTTTTATTAGTAATCTCAAGAGTTCGTTTAACTCCTGTTGTATCTATTAGCCTTCCCAGAGCTATTAATGTCACAAGTGATCTATCCAAAACGGAGAGAGCCCCCCGCTTGGTTGGACTGCGCCCGCCAAGCGGAGCGGGCTAAGGCAGAGGAGAAAGGGAAGGCGGCCGGGACCCGAGGCACCGAACGGCGGCACGGCTCGGCACCTCCCCGCCGGCCGCCGCCGGGCAGGGATCAAGCTGTATTTTGGGGTGCCGCTCCTCCGCTGCGTTACGGATTTTCCACGTCTCAATTTGTGCGCTGGCGGCGCCCCGGGGGCTGCCCCACGCCTTGCCGGCCGCGCCGCTGCCCGGGCGCTGCCCGCCCGGCACGGCGGTACCGACGTGCGGCGCCCGGCGGCCGCGGCGCCCGACAGGGGCTGCGGGGGCCGCTGCGGGCTCTTTTCAATTTCCCCGCTGCGGGTCGAGGGATGCCCGGCTCTCTCCCTGCGCCTCCCGAGGAGAAAGGGGAGGGGTGCCCCCGCTGCGTCCCCGCTGCCCCGCAGGCGGCGCGGGGCCGGGGCTAGCCGCTGAGAGCGGCTCGGCTGCTTCCTCCTCCCTCCCCGGCTCCCCGCCCGCTCCTCACCCTCACCTCCCTGCTCCTCCCTCCCTGCAGGCCCCGTGTCCCTCTCCAAGTCTAACAACAACGCCGTCTCCTCCATCCCCATCAACAAGGACGCGCTCTTCGGCGGGGTGGTGAACCCCAACGAGGTCTTCTGCTCGGTGCCGGGCCGCCTCTCGCTGCTCAGCTCCACCTCCAAGTACAAGGTCACGGTGGCGGAAGTGCAGAGACGCCTGTCGCCGCCCGAGTGCCTCAACGCCTCCCTGCTGGGCGGAGTGCTCCGGAGGTGAGGGGCGGGGGGACGCGGGAGGCGGGCTGCCGGGCGGGAGGCAGGCAGGGAGGGAGGGATGGAGGCAGGGAAGGCGGAGGACGAGCGCCCACGCGGGGCGGCGGCGCGGGGGGAGCGCGGCGGCCGCCGCTAGGGGGCGGGGCGCGCGCGGCGGAGGGCCCGGCGCTGTCGCCATGGCAACAGCCCCGCGCCCCGCCGTGAGCCCCTGCGTGTCCCTGTCCCTCCCGTGGCCATGGACACCCCCGCGGGCACACGCACACCCCCACGCACCCCCCAGGACAGACTCAGTGGCAGGCACCCTGCCGTGGGCTCCCACCCCGTGGCCTCACCCAGGCAATTAGGCAGTGCCCGGGCAGGGAATAACATCCAGGATTAATTAAGGCAGCTCCCATCTCTGCAGCCCCGCTTAGCGCAGCTCTGCTGCCAAGGCACAGATGGGCCACGTAGGGTTTGGTGTGAGGGCAGCGATGCTCTGGGGCTGCTTGGCCCTGCAAATCGGCCTCTTCCCTTCGCGCCTGGGGAGAAGCTGCCCCTGTGACCATGGCGCCTTGGGGAGCTCAGGGAGACACCTCAGAGCTCTGTTTCAGCTCTGGGGCTGATCTAGTCCTTAGTGAGGGCCACTGTTCTCTAGACGTGGAAACATCAAAGTACCATCCCTATATATGGGATTCAGCTTTCAGCAGCAGTTGGTCTTGAGCCTCCCACAGCCATGTATCCCATCCCTTGTGCCTAAACCCTTTATTCCCTTCCCTGGGAAAGGATGTGTTGGGGGCATGTGTGGGTGGGAGCCAGAGTAGGGGCAGGTGTTCCCCCAAGCCCCATTTCTCAACGCCTCTCTGTGTGGTGCAGGGCAAAGTCTAAAAACGGAGGGAGATCTCTGAGGGAGAAACTGGACAAAATAGGACTAAACCTGCCAGCCGGGAGGCGTAAAGCTGCTAACGTTACCTTGCTCACATCGCTCGTAGAGGGTAAGTGACTCAAAGAGCTGGGAGGGCTTGTTTGGAAAATGTGCCTGCTGCTTTTGCCAAATGGAAGAGAGCTAAACTAGCTGTTGGGTCGTTCGGGTTTTCTTTCTCCTTTCCTGGTGCTGCTCACTGGCATTTGGAAGGGCGTTATTTTCTGTGTCTTAAAGGAAGATCAGGTTAATAGCATGCATTTGCTTTTTGTTATAACCTGAAACAGGTTTGTGCGAGTCCTGCAGACTCAGCAAAGCGTTCTATTATTTATTTGCTTTTAAGTTTCCGAGCTAGATGTTTTCAGGGCCCCATCTTGCTCACTCATTCAAATGAGTAATCCCTCTGTGGAATAAGCAGATCTCATTGGGAGCAGTATGGGAAGGGTCACTGTGAAGGAGGGTTGTGGGCTTATGAGCCCCATAAGAGACCGATGAGTATTGAGTTGGAAGTTACGGGCAGCAGAGCCTCTAATACTTCACTGCTGTTCTTCTGCCACAGGTGGACAACCAAGCAATTTTAAATGTCAGAGACTGCAGCTACTTTAAGTTTGTTCTCCCTCCCAGCCTGCAGCCACATAACAGTAAATCATTTAACTTTTCTGACATCTGCATTTGAGAAATGCGTGACCATTACTTCCTGAATTAATTTGGGAATCCTTGACCTCAGCCATGAATTAATGGTGTCCTGAAAGCCTCAAAGTTACACCACTGCCAGCCCCCACTCCCTTTTGGTTCTCATTTTCAGAACACATGTTCCCTTGGATATATCATTCTCCTCTGCTTTGCTTTGGCTGGAAAAGGTGCAACTTTCTTTAATGCTTTGGGATGTCCTGTGCTGTCTGTACAGGGAGGTGGGAAGATCAAGAGTTTGTCGTCATTTAGTTTTGAAGCAGTGGCTGTGTCACACTGGCTGACACAAAGTATGCCTGGCGCCTGCGGATAGACCCCTCTTTCCCTTATTTCCCCTTACGTATGAGTTCGGTTGCGTTTCAGACTGGTTCAGTTTGTAAAATGCTTTTAAACTCAGCCTGAACTGTCCAGGTTCAGCTTAAGTTTGGTTGTGTAGGTGAGAATTTGTTTCGTTGTTGTGCTTCGTGTTCTGCGAAAAATGTTTCATGTTCAAAGGGACCGGGGAAAAAGAAGTGCTGTGTGATGATGCCAGGTGTCATTTTTTTTAAACATCAGGATTAGTGACCAAACTGTATTTATACTGCGTGAGCATTACCATGTCTTCATGTTTCTGAAAAGGCTTTGCAAACTTGTAAAAAGTCTAGATTTGGTAGATGCTTAACATTATTTGTGATGTTAATGAATATGGAGAAGGTTTTATGGTAATCCATTGTTTCGTTTGGCTTTCATATACAATGGCTTTGAAAAGAATGATTAAAAAAAAAAACCAAAACCAGAGGCCTGATCTTCAGATAACTTAGTGATGGTGGCTAATTTTGGGGAGATGATAGTATAAACATTGCTGGGGCTTCAAGACCCGTAGCGATGAGGCAGTTTCTAGAGTACTGTTATTGTTTATGATCCGCTCCATTTTATGGAAACAAGCTCACTGGACTGAGGCTTTGAAGCTCTAATTGGCGCATGCGTTCTTCCGGAGCTAGAGCTAATGGCAGGAAGCCCTGCAGTAAAAACCAACTGGTTCAGGAAATTAAAACCAAAGATTTGAAAATCAACAAAACAGACAGACTCAGTGGAATGGCCCTAAAATTCTCATGGTTAATCGTTTGGGGGTGAACATATAATTATATGCGATCAAGTTAAATTTTAAACACTTAGCTGTTTAATGCATTTTATTTAGAAGAGCTCTAGGAGTAATTATGATCAATATTAATCATTGATGCATTGCAAAAGAATATAGAAATGTGGCTGAGGCAAACGCATTTTCAGAGTAAATAGCTGTGAATAAAATGTACATAAATGGCTCTATAGGTATGGAGATGTAAATCAAAGCACACATTCTAGGTGGATGGGGCCTGTCTGTCTAAAAGTATCTCTTAGTCAATGTGAATTTAAAAAAATTCTTATGTGAGATTTCACTCATAACAATTGTTATGAAAGTATGCATTTGCATTACCTTCAACTGAAGCAAAGAAAAATGCAAGATAAGATGTAATTAACATTTCTGGCCCTAACTTTTTCAAAGAGAAAATGTCCAAGCTTTTGAGAAGAAAAGCCCAAGTAGAATGTAGTGGGTTTTTTGAGGTTTTTTTTCAAGTGGATTTTTGCTTCTCTCTGGTGTGTACTGATGAACTGTGTTTCTTTCCATCCCCGCCCGTGCCTCCCTATTCAGGAGAAGCAGTACATCTAGCTAGAGATTTTGGGTACGTTTGTGAGACAGAATTTCCTGCCAAAGCAGTAGCTGAATTTCTCAACCGACAACATTCCGATCCAAACGAGCAAGTCACAAGAAAAAACATGCTTCTAGCTACAAAGTAAGACATTTAACTTTCTGGCATGTTGCTTAGAAATGAGGGAGGGGGACAAACTCGAGTTTGGGGGTTTTATTTGTGAAGATATTTGTTTGCTGCATAACCAGTGGCTGATGGCTTTGTAAGTTGTGAGGGTGCGTGTTGGTCCTCCTGGTATAGGAGAACTCTACAGACCAGCTTGGTTTTCTCCAAATCAGTTTGCACAGATTACCTTGAATGCGAATTGTGCAAATTGAGGATGAATGTTTAGTTACATAAAAAGCATTCTTCAAAGCAAAACATCTTCTGGGCTTATTCACTTAGTTTATCAATTTAAGTAGAAGGGGAAGTCCTCTCATTGACAGTAAAATAAAACTGGCACATTAAACCGATTTCAGTTCATTAAAATCGGCAATGGTTCTTCCTGCCTAAGCAGTTGTGTTATGTAGCCAATACAGGGATGTTAAAAATATATTTTAAATGACAATCTGTATGCAGTTAAAATGCTAGTGGAGTTTATTGTTGATGGGGCTGCTTAGATTTCCAGGTGGTGTGTGAAAAGAAAATTATTGGTTTGGTATGTTTGCTGGAAATTAAAAGGGTTGTTTAGTAGCCCTTAATTACCAATGGAGGTGTCACCAAAGGGCACAGTGCCAGAGGACACAAGCAGGAGATGGGAGCTGCTTTATGGTTCTAAGACATTAACATGGGTTTTAGAATACAAACTGTTTCAACACACCTCTGAACTCTCTTGCTGTAAGGTGTGTTATTTCTCCAACCATTTGTGCAGTGAGTGGGTGATATAACCTATCTTCTGCATCATGCCCTCGTATCCTCCCTTCTCACCTCCCTGGAAGGAAATTTCCAGGTGCTGGTTAGCATCAGCCTTCCCCTCTGTGGAAAGGTCCCTTTGCATTTGGAAATAGAGATTTACATATATAAATGTTTCAGAATACCCTAGTTTAAATCCTCAGTTGCCGGCTCTGCCCTCACTCATTCTTCCTGACACACAGGTGTGTGTTTTAGCCTTGTGAAGGAAGAGGCCCATATCTCTCTCTGTTTCCCCCCAAAAAAAAGGAATCTTCTAATATATGGAAAAATCCCTTAACTTACCTTTGGATATCATAGCCTGTCTATTAAGCCTGCTCAGGAACTTAAAACTGTGTTTGTGCTCCAAACTGCAGCTGGACGGGGATGTGTGTTTGTGGAGAGTGTTGGGGATAACATGTAGAGAACGGTGGGGCAAGAGACATGTCTCCATGTTCCTGTTGCCTGCCTGTGTGTTGGATGGGGCTGGGGTGTAATGTGTGGTGTGCTGTTGTGTGTGCACACAAGGTGAAGGGAAGAGGTTTGTGTGTGCCAAGGAAGTGTGAGAATTGGGGAAGGATGCATAGAGAGGAGAGGGAGAAAGGAGAGTGTGTGTGCTCAGGAGCAGGAGCCCCCTTGATCCAGGGGCTCGTGCAATCTAGCAGGGAGAATGCACAGGCTTTGCTGCCACCAGTGATGGTTCATTTCTCTCTCTCTCTCTCTTCCCTTTCCTCCCTCCCTCCCTCTGTCTCTCTGCTCCATTTGTGCTACAGACAGATCTGTAAAGAGTTCACCGACCTGCTGGCTCAGGACCGATCTCCCCTGGGGAACTCGCGGCCCAACCCCATTTTGGAGCCGGGCATCCAGAGCTGCCTGACCCACTTCAACCTCATCTCGCACGGCTTTGGGAGCCCGGCAGTATGTGCTGCCGTCACTGCCCTGCAGAACTATCTCACCGAGGCGCTCAAGGCCATGGACAAAATGTACCTCAGCAACAATCCCAACAGCCACACAGACAACAGCACCAAAAGCGGCGACAAAGAGGAGAAGCACCGAAAGTGAGGATCCCCCCCACACACGCTCCTCTCCCTTCCCCCTCATAGCCCATTGATCCATTCATCTCCCTCCTCCCTCTCCCCGGCACCCAGCACCCCAGGCTACAGCAACAGAATGAGCGTCCTTCTGCCAGTCCTGTTCTCTGACTCTGCAGGACTGCTCTGCCCTCTCTCCACACCCCTTCCCAGCATCCACATTTCCATTTGCTCCTGCTTATATTCCCC